GATCCTTGCATGTGTGAAAATATGGAGATCTTAAGATGTAGCCCATGAACATGTAGCCCTATATTCCACAAGTGTTCATTAAGGTTTGACCTGCGATTTCGGTCTGTGTCTCACAAGCTTTCTCACCAGAACTAGACCTGTGAACTGACACAACTTAATGTAAGGCAAATCTCATCATTTATGTCTCTAGTGTGTATGTAGAATCCCATGTATACACTCGAAACCTAGTTATAGCGATTCTAATAGTAACATTGTTTAAATTGTGGAAATGTAAAATAACATACATATTTTGAGAACGTAAGCGCAATACTCCTGTACTTCTAAACCAAAAACGAAAAAGTATATTTGTCACCTTGTTTAGCCTTACAGACTTTTTTAGCTTTAGAGTCGGGGGTCAGAGGACAGGACAGTTGATATCCTTCAAACTGATTGTTCCTTGTGCCTGGCCCTTTTATCTTCTGATCACCATGAGTCCTGCAGGTGTGAGGTTAAAGAGCACCATTCATTTTTTTTGGAAACCTGAAGCGTAGCTATAGGAAGAATCCGAAATGACATATGATGCAGTCTGTCACTAGCAGCCCAATGTTGTGCGAACAGTCTCTGGGCTCTTGCACTTAGACTGTCATTTGAGATAATTCCTCCTGTTAATCTCTCAGTTGAAAATTTACACTATCCAGGTCCCCATGAATGTGAAGTGACCCGAAATGCATTGGCTGTTCAACTTCCCATTAATATGAATTGATTAAAATGTTTTTGGACTGTTTGTCAATCGGTGTGGAACGCTTATTGTATACCTCACCTCCGTACTAGTAACTTTTTTTTTTTTTCCCCCCAAATTTCCCTGTTAAAAATTATTTTTATTACCTGTTGATCCTGCCAGCAGATCTGTTATTTTTAGCGTGACAAAGCTGTTGTAGGATTTCACTGCAGAACAGCATTGTCACCCTGTAGACAGTCTAGTCTTAAAAAGGCATGCACTTTAATTAGACTAATTCATGTCTAAGTCCAGCTAACACTTTCTAAGCAGTTACAGTTTTGGCTGAAGCCATATGAGTAAAAGCGGGCCATTAGGTGAAGCCCTGTCAGTTCTGTTTGGTTTGTGTCAACTCTGTACCTGTCACTTTACTGTACAGCTTGGCCTGTTACTGGAAGTGGAAAAATAACTGAACTGTTGTGTTATACAGCTACATCATATATGTAGGTTTTTTTTGGTTTTTTTTTTTACCCATAGTCACACTTTAGAAGTACACAAAACCTACTGCTTTGTGTTCTTTGTGAAAGGTCTGAACCTTTCCAAGGCAGGGTGAATGGAAAAGAAAAAGGGATGGAGTGGATCATACGGTGACAACAAGACATGTGATTGTTGTTTCCTGAGTATTCTGGACAATAATTTTCCAGGTACCGGAGTACTCGGAATAGTAAGGTTGGATGTGGGCACCTTAATATCCCCATAATTGTGTGTTTTAGCTATTTAAACCCACCACAGGTTTGCTTCTTCATTTGCGAATAATTCTGTTTAAAGCAATAAATACTATTGCCATGCAAGCGTGAGTAAAGCAAGACGTACCTGTAAAACAAGACTGTAAATGCTACTCTTGCTGAAGTCCACGCAGAACCTGGCCCTTTCAGAAGTGCTGATCTCCTGTGTCCCCTGCAGTTCTCTCTGGTTCCACTCTCTGACCTCCACATCACTACTATATACTGTATTGACGTGGAGGTCAGCAGGAGGGACCAGTGAACTGTGGGGAACCCAGGAGATTGACACATGGGAAGCAGCGTTCGGCAGCGGGAAAGGTAAGTATTTCCTGTCTTCTGCTACAGATATGGCTTGGTTTACTGACTATAGTTTAGCAGCAGGACTGCTTTAACACAAAAAGTTAAAAATATCAATCCCGAATGGAGAACATAACTGAGCCTGGATCCTAATTTCATTAAGCCATGCTTATTTGTAATTGGGATTTGGAAGGGTACATTATTAATAAAAAAGCATTTTAACCTTCATTCTGTCTACAAGTTTCTACTTGACTACCATTTTGTTGTTTTAGCCTAGGTTCTAACAGGATTGTGCTCCTTGCTTGGAGTGTGTAACAGTATACCAATAAATAATAGAACATTGCTTCAGCCAAGTGACCTACATCTTTGATGCTCTTGTGTGGCATGGACCAGCTGGAGGGTGCAATTGATTTTCAGCTAGAAACTTAAAATAAGAGCGGTCAACTGCGCACAATAGTTTTTTCTCGTCTTTTTCTTTTTCCCCATTTTAAACTTTAAGGGGTTTCTGTATAGACAATCTTCACTGCTAGCTCGGTTGACATTGGGGGGGATTAATCAAAAGCTGGAGCAGCTGTGCATGGCAACCAATCAGCTTCTCTCTTCATTTCATTCATTCAAATCTCAGCTGAACAAACTGTGGAGAGAGAAGCTGATGGGTTGCCATGGGCAGCTCGCAGTATACTGAGACGCCGCAGCTGAATCGGATCCCGACAATTATGTCTGGATCCGCCCAGCTGCATGAGTGACAGCTGGCTCTGCCTATCTAGAGGCAGAGCCAGCTGTACCCTCCCCCGTCCGTTCCGCCAGTCAGCGCTGGAGGATCGGACCGGGGAGGGGGGAATCCAGTCGCTCCCCTGTCATGGTAGAGAGCCGTGACAGGATCGAGAAGTGAGGGAACGCCGGTATGTGTTCGCTCACTAACCGATCTACTGAGCCGACCTGTGACAGTCTCATTGTCACAGGTCAGCTAGAACTATGAGGTGAGTGAAAAGCACTCACCCCCATAGTTCTCCTTTTAACCTACAGCTACGTAACATGTGGGTCATTCAGTTTAGTTTTTAATCCGAATTAGATGTTACATTTGGGCTTTCGTAATATGTAGTTTTGATTACAAAAAACAGTCAGTCACCAATCAAAATGACAGAGCCAGTCCTAATAGTGCTTGTGGAAGAATTGGAATATTCAGTCTCAAATCGCCAAAAGTATCAAAAGAATCAAGTCCAACGTCAGACAAACCTTGGGGGGTTTTTAATAGCATGGGTTAGATACAGAACTGCTGTCAAGTGTGTTTTTTTTTTTTTTTTTTTAATTGTAATTTGTAAGGGAGGTTTCCCCTCTATTCTGCTGCTGACACAAGAAAAAAAAATAGGGGGGATGCGGGTGACACTAGCACAGGATAGAGCAAAAAAACCTTATGAGTATATAACCTTTCCCCAGTCTATCAATTAAATGTGATTGTGTTACTATCTCTGTCCCCATTGGAGATGGATTCCATTGCTTCCTGCTCTGTCCCAAAACATTATTGGTAGGAGTTGGTCTGTAAAAGGCTTGTCAGCTTACTTTTGGCAGCAGCCCTGTGTGCCCAGGCTGGCGTGATGATTCACCCCTCGGGGTGCGTGCATGGCAACCAGAAGTCGCAGGAAGTGGTTTGAAGGTTGCTGGGTGTCAACCCGGAAGAGCAGTGGCGAGAGGAGAGCGAAGCAGAGTGTCTGCAGGCCACAGTGCTGGAGAAAACAGGTAAGTATTACAGTAAAGGCTTAATTTTTATTATTTTGATATCTGCTGTTCAATCACATTTTTAAAATCTCCTCCCTTTTTAACCTAACTGAGAAATCTAAATACCTTATTTTTATCCTTGCTGCTACCTTTTACTTCCTGGAATAGCTTCTGCCCCCCTTGATGATGCACAGGAAACTCTCATGCCTGCGCAGTCAAAGATCTGTCTAGTCATCTGTAGGAAAACTAATATGTATTGCCCAAACCCTCTAGGGATTTAGCAGAATCTCATTTTAAAGACACAATCTCATTGAAGGTACTGGAGATGTAGCCTTTCAGCCTTGTAGCCAGCTGTGAGGCCAGGGTTAAGTCACCAGTGCCTCAATAGACCAGGAAGTGAGAACACATTGAATGTGGGTAACCACAAAATCTTTAATTTAACAAATGACTGTAAGATGATTTTATGGCCTACAGGTATACTGAGACGCCGCAGCCGGAGCGGATCCCGACATGGACGTCGAGATCCGCCCAGCTGCGTGAGTGACAGCTGGCTCTGCCTATCTAGAGGTAGAGACAGCTGTACCCGCCCCCGTCCGTTCCACCAGTCAGCACTGGCAGATCGGAGCGGGGAGAGGGGAATCCAGCCCCTTCCCCTGTCACGGCAGAGAGCCGTGACAGGATCGAGAGGTGAGCGAACCCGGTATGTGTTCACTCACCTCCCGATCTACTGAGCCGACCTGTGACAGTCTCATTGTCACAGGTCGGCTAGAACTATGAGGTGAGTGGAAATCATATTTGCAATTAAAAGCTGGTAAAAAAAAAAATTAGCCTTACATTTTCTTTGTGTGACCAGCTAATAACTCCAAGAGAACCATCTTCAAATGTTAATTGTGTTTACCTTGTACCCTGAAATACTTTTCGTCTTAAACTCTTCCCGAAAAATAGTTGGGCATTTCTAGGAGTTCAACATGCAGCACCCTCAACAACTGAGAAGATTTAGCTGGGATACAGTAAGGCTGGTGGTGGGGTGAAACCAGCAGAGAGAAGCCGCCTAATTTTCAAAAAACTTCCCACCCATCAAGCTTGGTTCACACTGATGTAGTTCCGTCAGTACTGCAGAAGGAAAAACTATGGCGGGCTATTGAGGTGCCCAGTTTCCCTAATGCACATACTGCAGGTAAAGTGTCCAGTTCCGTGGACAGGAAACATTTGACAGAGCGAGCCTCTGAATGATGACTGTTCTGGAAAATCAGATGAGTATGCTGCTGCTAAGAGGTCAATGGAGCTTACATTATTACATGGTATATATCTGCCAAACAAGCTACTGAATATAGATTTGGCCCAGAGTGGGGCTTTAAGTATCAAGTATGATAATGATGTACTGCTACTATAACTAATAACCATAGCTCACACTGTATGCACTTTCCAAAGCAGTTAGTGGCTACTTGCATGGCATTTGTTTTGTTGTTGTATTCTTCCTGTGCTCACATTTTCCTGAGCTCCAGTACCAGATATTGACCAGTGGAACAAAGTCATTGAGCAACTGGGGACTCCCTGCCCAGAGTTCATGAAGAAACTGCAGCCTACTGTGAGAACATATGTGGAGAACAGACCCAAATATGCAGGTTACAGCTTTGAGAAGCTTTTTCCAGATGTCCTGTTTCCTGCAGACTCTGAGCACAACAAGTTAAAAGGTGAGCATGCTTTCTTTTTAGATGCACTTCAAGGATATCCTCTGGTTGCTTATCAAAAGAACGACATCTGCACCTAGTAAAGGTCCCACATTGTTGAGTGTAGACTTGTTTTTGTGCTGTTACTGGTATGCATGCTCCATTGGCTCTGTGGACCAACTCTCTAATAAAGGCAGCAATGGTCAGGCATCGTTAGCTGTAGTTTTAACAGTTAAAAGCATTATACTATAGCAAACTGGTGAGGGGGCCTGTTCTCTATTTAACTCTTTCATTTCAAATAGCTTACAAGATGCTTACACAGAAATGTGAGGTTATCAAAATGAAGCTTTAGTCATCCAATGCATGAAGGATACATACTCCATAAAACAGTGGTTCTCAACCTGTGTAACCTCAGGACCCACATTTGTCCTTGGTCATTAAGCCACGACTTAAATCTCACTGCAATGGAATGCATTGCAGTACCAGGAGTGTGAGTGCAGGTGATCGGACTGTGGGTGGAAGGTGCGTTTGGGGTGTCATTCAAATTAATGGCAACACACCTTCCACCAGAATGCTCAGTAGGTGTGATTTGCATGGTACAGTGCATTAACAACATGGGACTGTGTACTAGTCTGAACGGACCCTCAAAAACACTGACACACACAACCACAGACATTCTCACACACACAAAAATGTATCCCACCTCAAGTTGGCACACAGTACCGGGCAGCATATTTTTAATGGTTGCTTGGTGTGAGAACTGACGATGTTGAGCTGGGAGAGGGCTGAGGAGTCTCTCGCCTAGAAAAGAAGGCATGTGGCGACCCACTTTTGGGTCATGACCCACCAGTTAAGAACCAAGGCCTTAAAATATACATCCATTACAAAAAGATCCAGAGTCAGTAGCTAGCAATGTTTCCAAAGCAGGAAGAAGTTATAACTGTCAAGTTAAGTCACTTGACTGTAAAGCTCTTGCTATCTGCTGCTGTTTACAAATGGCGCTGGTAGAAAAGGAGTTAAAGCGGGGACTACATCTCGTATCCTTTATAGCCAAGGAAGGTGCTATCTTGGCCTCTATATTTGGATTGCAGTTGCCATGGTGCTGCACAAGTAATCGGCTATGACATCAGCCATTTGAAGGCTAAAAGGTTCAGTTGAGAGCTGAAATAAGCACAGTGGCAACCTTGACAGTTGGCTTGCCTTGAAAGTACCTCTTTTGGAAGACACTGAATTGTTGGGCCTAGTTCCACTTTAAGGACTGGTAAGCTGCAATATATTGTGTTTCTGTTGTTTTTTGATGTACTTCATGTATGCGGAGGATAACAGTCTTGCAGATTCTTGTGTTTGTGCCATTAGTATGCCTGTGAACGAACTCCTGACACCACAATCAACTTGAGTCTTGTTACAAATAAAACGTTGGATCTGCATAGTGAAGTGGAGGGATATTTTGGAGTGTAGAGGGGCTATTTTGTGATTGTGCACGCTCTAAAACTAACTGAATACTGTGTAGGGGTGAGCTGTTGTTTTTTTGTAAGTACGTGTGTGCAGTAGTTGCTCAGTATTTGTGTATAAAACACATTTAACGTGGAGAGAAACCAGAAAAGTACCGATTGGCTGCACAAATCAAACATTTCAGGTAGTCGGAGGATAAAAACGTTTTTTGTTTTTTTTTACCTGTTGCATATGTCATGAGTTCACAGTGATCATTATCACATAAAACCTGTTTTTACACCCTGCAGCCAGCCAAGCCAGAGATCTGCTCTCAAAGATGTTGGTTATAGATGCTTCCAAGAGGATCTCCGTTGACGACGCTTTGCAGCATCCTTACATCAACGTTTGGTACGATGCTTTAGAGGCTGAAGCAGTAAGTGTTTTCCTTTTTATTTTTCCCACCAATTTCTTTAAAGAAAACCTAAAGTGATTTCAGAGATCTTCTGCCCTCACCACCACCCTCCCGGTGCATGCATGGCAGCTAACCTATGGAGCTCTTATGGACCTTGACCTCACTGTTCACCACCTTGTCTTTGGCTAATAATGCTGCTCATCACAGCTTTGGGCCAGTACAGTGGCAAGAGAAGGGACCGGCCAAACTCTCACCCAAGGAAGCTAGCTACATATTTACATCCTTGGGCCAAAATTAGCTCACATGCAGCTTTTGTAGGAATATTAAAGAGACCTGTCACCTTTCCTATGCAGGGCAAAGTGACAGTGTCTTTGGAAAGGGCATCCCCTGACCCCCCCCCCCCATATACTTACTGTCCTGGTGCTGCCTCTCAATTCTTTGCTTCTCTGCAGCTTGTGAGAATACCTACCTTCCGCTTTTGTGTATGGGGGATGATGTAACTGTGACTGTCTGGTGTCACTACACAAAATTTATAATAGTAGTCACCAGCACTTGATGATATGTGCTGGGCGAAGAAGGGACCGTGCGTGGCCCCGAAACGTTGGCTGTTTGACGCATGTGACGATTTAATAAGTGCTTTACTTCTTGCTCTCATCATCGAGTGCTGGTGACTTCTAATATGGACTGTATCTGACACGGCGCCATCCGTGTTGTCACTTCAAGCACCAACCTCTTACTCAAGGTCTGTACGCTGCATGGAGTGCAGGTGATTTCGTATTATCGACTACACAAAATCTCTCGTGTGGCCAGGGAACATCATCCTCACCTAGTCAAGGAATGAGGAAGTGGGTAGCAAGTATCTGGTGAAAAAAAAGTGCTTTGAACCCCCCCCATTTGTGACTACAATATGACATTGCTGCAGTCTAATTACTTAGGCAGAGGATACTGAGAAAATGCTTCCTGTTGCCCCTGCAGCAGAATGATGGCATCATCTCAGCCTAGGCACACTTGACTTAGGGTTCAAGAACTGATTTAGAATGATAAAAGGTACATATGTTTTTGAAAAAGATACTTTTTACTGTATATGGTGACATGTTGGGAATGCACTCACGCAGACTTGCCAAGAATGTATTTACTACATTTGTGGCACAGCTGCGTATAATTGTGCTTTATATGTTTTGTAGATGGTTTATGGGGTACTTTTATTGCACTTTTATTATGGGAAGCCTGTAGTTTTTAACCATGTGGACTTATTTTTTCCCTAACAGCCACCTCCAAAGATTCCAGACAAGCAGCTGGATGAGCGAGAACACACGATAGAGGAATGGAAAGGTAATGTATTTAACAGTACTAAGCGTAATTGCAAGTCATATTTTTTTTTTGTTTGTTATCCCCTGCACACCAGCTACATTTTTAGATCAGGATTTATTTAGGATGGTACATACCGGCTGCTAAGTGTGGGGATATATATATATATATATCTACAGTAGATATAGTATAGATTAAAACAAACCTGTAGGACGAAAAACATTTTTATACTACTTTTCCCACCATTTTCACTCACCGCGTCAAGGTGAGGGTGACGTCCTCCACCCTCAGGTAAGATCAGGGGAATGTAGAATATCCCAGCACTGTGCTGCAGCGTCTTCTCACAAGATTTGCAGTGCTCACCATTACTCAGGATCTTGTCGGTCGGACATAGCCTTTCATCAGGGAAACCAGAGAGGTAAGTATATCCATTATTTTTTCCCTACATTATTTTACTGCTGCTTTTCATTAATGGGGAGGGCATCACAGAGGTCCACTTCTGCATTAAAAACTAGCAAGGACTGTGTTGACAGTTTTGTGTTGTGTTCTTTTACAGAGTTAATATACAAGGAAGTCCATGATTGGGAAGAAAGAGTCCGGAATGGTGTGATCCGTGGGCAGCCAGCCCCTTTAGGTTAGTATAATTTGGGTAGTAATGAGGTCCTGCAAGGTCATAAAAAAACTGGCCCAATATGTAATACTCTTAGAGTGCAAAAACCTTTTTGGTGCCTGCAAATTGCTTTGTTAGTGCCCAGGTTGGTTTATGTGCCCCAGTGGAAATCCTGTATCCTGGGAGAACGGCTTAAATAGAGCCTCCATGTCTGCCTGACTTGGAGCTAAGCTCTAAACCCAGTGCAATTAAAGTGTATTTCCACTTTTGCAGTCACATTTGAGACAACCCCTCTATGTTTGTGTTCATAATGTACTTCTTACCATTTTAGATGTTTTGTTGCAGCAGGCAACTTGGCTGCTTCCAGTTTCTGTCCTTATAGAAAGACTTAGGGCTGAAAGTTGTGGATTGTGTTTCTTTCATTAACAAAGAGTGCACAAACCAGGGTTTTAATCCTTTGTTAGGACAGGCAGTGTTCAAATCTACTTCAAATTATAATAAACAAACCCCTCACAACCCTCCTAATATAACAAAGAAGGAGACGCAAGTACTTAAGAAGTCAAAAACTCTAACCAAAGTAAAAGCAATTTAAGCTGCAGGAAGCATTTAAAAAAAAAATCCTAGCTTATGGTATGTGAATGGGAACACGTAAGAAATATAAAAGAGTTGTTAACCCAATGTGGCTGCAAAAGTGAAAATACACTTTAACCACTTCAGTACCGGCATGCTACACCCCCTGCATTACCAGGCCAGTTTTCAGCTCTGCAAGTTAGGCTGAGAATTCCTCTGTACACAACACTAACAAAATTAATTTTATATAATTTTTGGGGGGACAAATAGAGATTTCTTTTAGTGGTATTTAATAACCGCTTTTGTATTTATTTATTTTTTGACACTATAAAGTTTTTTTTTAAAAAGCCAAAAGAATTGAAAAAAAGCCTGTTTCTTTCTTTTATAAATCATAGCAAATAAAAATGTCAGGACATTATGAAGACCCCCAAAATGACCCCTTTTTGCAAAGTTGTCACTCCAGGGTGATGTGATTTTTTTTCTTTTGCCACAATTATTGGAAATGAAGCAGCTCTGTGTCTAATGACGTGGGAGCTGCTGCAGCCATGCTGATAATGCGTTCAGGGGAGGACGTACAGGTGCATCATCCAGAAACAATGCGCCAGTGGACTGGCCATTTTTTTACAGTAGCCGATCTTCAAGCCATTAAACTACCGTTCAACAGTTCAGTAGGAGGAGCTGTGCTGTCCTTTGCGGCTCTGTCATTGGGCTTTTGAATGGTAGGGGAAGTGTGTCGGAAAAAGGGGCTCTGTGTATAGCAAGGATCCAGGGTTGCATGAAATCTGGGCTTGTTATATCAAAGGTTCTTAGAGGAAAATTGAGTTGGCTTGTTATCCATTACTAAGGTATATATCGAGGCCCTACTGAACCGCCTTTTAAAAAAAAATACCTTTCTGGTTCATCAAAGGTGTGCAAAGTGTTATAATTTGTGTTCTTTAGAAAGCAGCCACATCCTGAGTAGTAAAGACTGTCCCCTGCCAGCATGCTGCAGAAGTGGACCCTTGCCCTCTACGTGGAAGCAGCAGTCCCTCTTCAGAGGACTGACATGATGCAGGGCTAAGTCAAAGGAACTGTAAGACTTTGCACACCTTTTTGTTTTGTGCACTTGTAATGTTTTTAGCCGATTTCAAACTAATGATATAGTTGGGCTTTAATATTCTTCGTTAGAATGGCCTTCTGAGATGGATTCCGTGTTTCAGTGAACTGTTACTGCAGTTAAGCCCTCTCTCTCTGCTTTCTCATAGCACAGGTGCAGCAGTGACTGACGGCTCCCAGCCTCAAACCTCCTCTTCATCAGCTGACGCTTCCTCCATGTCCACCGACCCAACGCTGCCCTCGGACACAGACAGCAGCCTGGAAACCTCTGCAGGGGCCCTGGGCTGCTGTCGATGATTCAACGGCGGGGAGGGATGGGGAAATATACACGGATGGCAGGGAGGGAGGAGGTATAGAGGAAACCTCAAAGGGGTTGTGTAGCACAAGATGGCGGCAGGAGGATGCCACTTGTATTATTGGAAGAGTACATATTATTAACCCCTTAGCTGCCCGAAAACCTTCCTGCTTGCCCTGCAGTTGTGGTGGGGGGAGGGGGGACGCGAGGCCTAGAAATAAAAATAATTGAAAAAAAAAAGTTGGCTTAAGACCCCTGTAAGCGCTGGAGAGAAAGCCACAACGCACTCCCTGCCAGGACTAAGTTAAAGAGGTGTAGGTTCATTTTTATTTTTTTATTTTATTTTTGTGCTGTAATTTGAACACTTA